CCTTTTGTCTCCTTTTGTCTCTTCTCTATATATCTATCTGTCTCCTTTTGTCTCCTTTCTATATATCTATCTGTCTCTTTCTGTCTCCTTTTGTCTCCTTTCTTTCTCTATCTCTATCTGTCTCCTTTTGTCTCTTCTCTATATATCTATCTGTCTCCTTTTGTCTCCTTTCTATATCTCTAGCTGTCTCCTTTTGTCTCCTCTCTATATCTCTATCTGTCTCCTTTTGTCTCCTCTCTATACATCTATCTGTCTCCTTTTGTCTCCTTTTGTCTCCTTTTGTCTCCTTTTGTCTTTTTCTTTTCTCTATATCTCTATCTGTCTCCTTTTGTCTCCTTTTATATCTTTATCTCAGTTTGTCTCCTTCTGTCTCCTATCTATATCTACACAATAAATAAAAAATAAAAAATAAAAAATAATAAAAACTAAATAATAATAATAATAAATAATAAATAAAACCAAAAAAAAATAAAAAAAATAAAAAATAAAATAAAAAATAAAATAAAGTTTTTGTTTGTAGTGTCTTAAAGCCAAAACAAATAAATAAATAAATTCATTTCTTTTTTCTTTTTTATTTTTATTTTATTTTTTATTTTATTTTTTATTTTATTTTTTATTTTATTATAATAAACTTATTGTATTTATTAAATAAAAATTAAAATAAATATATTTTATTTTTATTTTTATTTTTTTATTTTTTTTTTTTTTTTTTTTTTTTTTTTTTTTTTTTTTTTTTTTTTTTTTTTTTTTTTTTTTTTTTTTTATATTTGTCTCCTTTTGGGTATTAGATTTTTTTTTCTTTCTGTTGCTATTTGTTTTTTCATTTTTTTAATTTCAGCTTTTTGCTGTTTTTTACTCAACTGCTGCTGCTGCTGCTGCTGCTGCTGCTGCTGCTGCTGCTGCTGCTGCTGCTGCTGCTGCTGCTGCTGGCGCTGCTGCTGCAGCATTTGTCTTAGTTTTTTCTTTGTTAGGTAATGTGGTTTCTTTCCTGTTGCTGCTATTCTTTCTTTTTCTTTTTTTGC